GATGTTACAACCATCTTGAGAGTGTGGGTGTGGGTGTGGGTGGGTGGGTGTGGGTATAGGCGTGGCTGTGAAAGAAGACTAATACAATACCCACACCCACACCCACACCCACACCCACACACCCACACCCACACCCACACCCCACACCCACCCTATTATCTTTACAATCTTTTATAACTGTGAATTGTGTATTATATTTGTTCGAAAATTAAATATCCCGTGAAATATTTATTGTTGGCTTCTTAGATCGGTCGGAAATATGAGCAAATGTCTCCGAACATTTGAAACCGATATAATCGAAATATCATCTTTTTGTATCTGAAGAAATAGTATTTATTGTGTTACGAGTTAAAGTTATACGCGAGGTCTTATTTTTTTCTGAAGTCTTTGCTATCTTAGGAAAATTTTTCGAAGGAAAAAGATCTTGTCTTCTATTAGCAGCAATTTAAATTGAAGATTTCTCATAGCAATCTTTGAAGAATGAGCACTATAACTAGTTTTTTTGATTCATACCGTTTGAATCTTGTCTGATGATTGAAGGAGGAAGAAAAGAGAAATGATTATTTTGGATTGACGCTGAAGTTTTTACAATTTGATTCGATGGTCTCACCTATAAAAGCTAAAAAGCAGAGGAAAGTCATTGTCATTGACAAAGCGGAGTATCTATATAGCGCCATTAATACGAATAAATCAAACGACAAAAGGAAAAATTAAAAATTCATTTTAGATTTTAAAGAAAACTAATACAATCGAAACGGCGATATTTTCAAAACAAACAATTTAATTTTATCCTTTTGATTAACATGGCCACTGCTATTTCATCAACAGATGCCGTTCATACAAAATCGGATGACATGCATCTTGAAATATTCTGCCTCGTCTGGCTCGATGCTGGTTCCAGTGCCAAAGACGGTCGTGATACTGAACAGCAGCTGCGTTCTATCATTAATCATCTCAAGAAATTTCAAAATGTAGCCCAATGTCAACAGTTTATTTATGAGCGATCACCGAAAGAACGAGTAGTTATGGTTGTAAGTGGTCAGTTGGGACGAGAAATAGTTCCTTCTATTCACAATCTTCGACAAGTTATATCAATATATGTCTATTGTTTCGATAAGAAAAGTAATGAACAATGGACTTATAAATACGCAAAAGTAAAATTAAGCTGAATAATTTCGATTTTATCTTAAGGTTTTTATTATTGATAGGTAAGGGCTGTTGTGGTTGAACTTGATGAGCTCGTTTCTCGAATTAAAGTTGATCATAAAATTCAGAAAATGGTCGAAGAGCCATTATCAATTAATATTTTTACTACAGGTGGCGGTGCAGGTAACTCAACGATGGGTTTAAATGGTGAATTTGTTTTTTCACAAGTTTTGATTGATTGTCTTATCCGATTACGATACACCGAATCAGATAAAAAAGAACTTATTCGTCTTTGTAAACAACAATATAAAGGTAATAGCGCCGAATTGAGTAATATTCGTGAATTTCAAGACGAATATTCATCTGACAATGTATTATGGTGGTATTCGCGAGAGTCGTTTTTTTACAAGACTCTTAATGCTGCTCTTCGTACCCCAACTGATATTCATACAATATTTTTGTTTCGTAAATATATCACTGATATTCAATATCAATTAGAAAATTATCAAGCTAAGAATGCTCTTCGAGTTTATCGAAGTCAAATGATATCAACTAATGAACTAGAAACTTTGAAGCAATGCCGTGGTCAATTTATTTCCGTGAATTCATTTTTTTCTACCAGTATTGATAAACAGCAAGCTCTATCATTTCTCAAGGTTCCCGATGATGCAGAAAATTTAGACGCAGTATTATTTCAAATTGATGTCGATCCTAAGATGGCAATTACAAAACCATTTGCTGATATCACTGAACATAGTGAATATAAAGATGAAGTTGAAGTGCTCTTTATGCTTGGTTCTATTTTTCGAGTGGATAGTATCAATCGAAGTAAAAATGGTCAAGTATGGATCATTCAAATGACATTGTGCAATGATGATGAACATGATTTAAAACAAGTTCTTATGGATATGAAAGAACAGTTCGTGAGTGAAGAAACAAATCTTCAGAATTTAAGGAAAATATTATTGGAGATGGGAAAACCTGACCTGGCACAACAATACTTCATTCGCATGTTAGAACAACTTTCACTCAACGACCCTTTACGCATTGATTTGTATTTGGATCTTGGGACACTTGAGTCATATGCCGGTCACTTGGACAAGAGTATGGAATGGCGCCAAAAAGCAAGTGCACTCAAAAAACAAATTCAATCTATTTCTTCTTCCAGCATTAGCAAACCAAAGAATCCTATTGGTAAGTTCATGGAAAAATATACTATTATATGAAAATGAAAGTGCTATATCTGTATTTCTATATCACGACAGTCATGCTAAGCGAATCTAAGATTTTACATTATTGCTAATAGCTATAAACTCAGTATATAAGACGACCTAGAAGCCCTTACTTGATTTGAATAATAAATTTCTCGATCGTAAAATAAGTGAGTGTAAATTTGTCTCTATGAGGAAAAAATGCAATAGTGCACTCTCTACAAAATAACTCTATATTGACTTCGTTAACTCATATAGTACGAAAATTATAAGCTTATTGAAAGTTTCAGAAGATAATGATCTTTTTTACTTAAAAGCTGTTGCTCTACTTTAAAAAGCTTTCTCTATAATTAACNAGTGTTTGTGTGGACCATAAGAGAGATTCTGGGTGTTTGTGTTGAGAGGGGTCATGTTTTGGTCTTTGTTGACGGTTTATTTTTTCTAGGACTCTTGCAAAGTGGGTGTTTGTCGGTGTTTGTGTGCATAACTGTCCAAGATGTGGGTGTTTGTCAAGATGACTTATATGCGGTTTTACAAAGTTGGGTGTTTGTGCTGTTTGCATAAATTAGTAATACCCTGCTATTTTGGTGTTCTTGTTTTAGTTTAAATATGTAGCATGAGTGGAAATTGTTATTTCTGTCAATTATGCAGTAATGTTTCTGCATATTATTCATTTGATGCTTTTTATACCCATATAAATTTAGTTCATGGCAATGATCCATTATTCAAACTCAGATGTGAATTAATCCTTCTCTGTGGTTCTATCTATAGAACATTTGCAAGCTATAAATCTCAAATTTATAGACATCATCGAGAACTTATTTCGAAATCGCTTGATAAAGTAGATTTGTTCTCCCCTACTAATTATGATTCAAATAACGGTTATACATTTTCTTATGCTGATAATTATGCATTTGAACATGAGGCAACTAACAGTAACAGCAACGATAATTTTGAATCGATGAATGAATATGATGAAGAAACAGAACTTGATTATCCACTATTCACGGAAACGATTTTAGAACATGATGAAGAACCATTTGATATGAAAAAATTTCAGAAATATTATACACGTTTTCTCTTGGAATTACGTGAACAGCATTTACTTTCTCAGAACATTGTCTCATCACTTACATCCAGTTTTTCACTTTTATTCAATATTGTGGTAAAAATTATAAAAAGCATAGGAAATGATACAAATACAATAGCAACAGCTGCTGTACCAATAATAAAAATAGAAGAAATTATATTCAGACAATCCGTACGATTGAAGATACAGCAAAAAATGAATATAAATTCATTAACAGTTGTAAAGAATTTTTTTAAGATGAAGAACCACATAAGTTAGAGTTTCATACGTCGGGAGAATATGGTTATATTATTCCGATAAAGAAATCTATCCAAAATTTTCTGACTCAACCGGATGTTATTGATTTATTAGTTATAAAATACAAATAAAACAATATTAACGAAAACAAACAGATGAAGATTTACTATTAACATATCGTGAAGATACGACTGCTGCTGCCAATGAATCACTTGAAAAAAAATAGAAATTTGTTCTTATTGCAGTTGTATAGTAATGAAGTTAGCGTTACCAACCCTATTGGACCAAAAAAAGATGAACAGAAATTATTATTATTTTACTATATGCTTGATGATTTACTTCCAATTATTCGATCATTGTTAAATTCTATTGGTTTAATTGGTATTTGTTTATCTAAATTTTTAACTAATCCATCACATCGTCACATATATTTTGAATCAATGACTAATGATTTAAACGAATTGCAAACAAAAGGTTTCACATTATCCACCTGTACTGGACGTTTATATTTTGCATTCGATTTAATGGCTACGGATAACTTGGCGGCAAATGATCTTGGAGGTTTTCAGAAAAATTTCAATAATGGTCATTTCTGCCGTATGTGCTATGTTTCAAGTCTATACCATTAACAGATATTTCTTTTTCATTACGATCTGAAATATCACATGAAAATTATTTAAACCGAATGTTACAGTCAAATAATTCAATCTTCGGTATCACTTGTTGAAGTGATTTCTCAAATTTAATTTTATTTCATCCGACAAAATCAGTACCTTTCGACATCATGCATGTTTTCTCAGAGGGTAAGTTCAATTGATCTACTGATACTTATTTTTCTTTCTTTTCTATAGAAGTGCGCATGATAATCGTCAACTCCATGTTGAAAGAATTATCTGGGCGTGGGTGCCAGTGCGGGTTGGTGTAGGTGTAGGTGGGTGTGTGGATGTGGGTGTGGGTGTGAGTGTGATTGTTTCCTTTTTCTCGTTCGAAACCCACACCACACACCCACAACCAACGAGAGACCTAACACATGTCGTTGAGCGAATTGGAACAAGAAAAACGCGAATCTGGTGCTACCTTTACTTACGTTAATATATCAAGAATTATAATAAGCACAGCATATTTTAATTACAAATAGAAAGAACTATTGGGTGTGGGTGGGTGTGTGGGTGCGTGGGGTGGGGGGCGAATGTGGCGTGTGGGTGTTAGTTTCTTTTAGTGGATAGCTACACCCATTGAGATTCCTCGTTGAGGCTCCTTCTGTTGGAAGGCCTTCGGGTCAGGTTCTAAAAGCTCGACCAGGCGTTGTCTTCACGTCCGTGACACATGAGCGTGCCCGCCAGACTCATTGACACATCTCATTTTTGATGGGATGTCGATGACATGAGTCTTCCCGTGCATGCATAAGCTTTACATTCGCCACAGGTCCACCAGGATGGTTCGTGGTCGTGCGCGCGCATAAAATAGAATAGAAATTATATTTTTTCGTGATTATTTATTTGATAGAAAGCGAAAAAGAATGAACAATATCATGGAGTCTATTCGATGTCAAATTTTTGTATTCGATGATTGCACTGATCAGCGACATATAAATTACCATGTCGATCGAAGGACAAACCATATGGATAAGACAATTGATTTGACTGTGCTCCTGAACCGTTTCCACCAACAATGACAGTTCCCTCTGTAGATCCTTTTGGCCAACGCATTATTCGATGATTGGATCGATCAGTCACATAGACAGTACCCAATTGATCAACAACGATTCCTAGTGGACCATTTAATTGTGCAAGATCACTTCCATATCCTTGACCACCGGCTACGACAATACCCTGTTGTGCACCTTCTTCCCATTTCATTACACGGTGATTCGTGTTATCAGATACGTACACTGAATGATCTCGATCGATAAATACGTAATAAGGGTTCGAGAGTTGATCGAGACGATTTCCTTGTCCATTGCCACCTGCAACTAAAGTTCCTTGGCTTTCACCAATTCGATATCGTTTCACTTCATGCTTATCATGGTCAGCAACATAAAGACATCCATTGTCATCCATTGTCAAACCAACGCAACAAATGTTTGAAATAATTATTTCTCCACTAGTGCCATTTTGACGAGGCCATCGAACTACACTTTTATTGTCAAAATCGGAGATGATGAGACTATCTCGTTCTTTATCGACAATCACATCTTCTGGACGCTTTAACTGATTAGCTACATTTCCCTTTCCACCAGCAACGACTTTGCCATTCGTGGCACCTGATTTCCATTCCATTATACGATGATTCGATTCCTCAGCGACATAAACTGTTTGCTCATCATCGACATACAAACCCCAAGGACAATTGAGTTGATTGATTCCATTGCCTTCTTCATTTCCTCCAGCTACAGTAACACCAGTTTGTTTCCATTTTGCATTTGGATGAATGTCAACTGAGCTTGAGCGTAGTGGTGCTAAAATGAGTCCAAAATTAGTGTAAGAACGAAAACATCATTTCGATTGTATCAGCGTTTATTTTCTCTTCGTAACAAAAAACAGAAATTGGATTATGTAGCTCATTTGTAGCTAAACTATTTAACACTTTTTATTGACAATATAAAATACTTTGTAGGTGATATTCAAAGTTGAGTAACAATAGAATTCAGTTGTTCAAATTATTTAGTTTTTTCCTATTTTGATTGTTGGCAACATTTTAAACAAATAAGAGACATAAGAGAAAAAAGGTAGTTAAGATAAGCTACACTCACACGCTATACACAATTTTGTGTGTAGCTTATCCTACCCAGTTTAAACCAATAGGATCATTCTCCATGTGTGGGGTGTGGGCGTAATTCCTCCCTTTAAGAAACCCATACTTACACCCCTACAAAAAATAAAAATGAATCACGAATCCGGTTGCTGTATTTCTGCTCCAACTCTTGCCGCTAAAGTTCCTTAGAAAAAATTCTTTGTTAAGTAGAAACGCTTTGGAATCCTCTAAAAAATCATAGCTAAACTTTAATTGCAGAACTTCAAACAAGACAACTAAGCAAATTGTACGCGAGGTGAAAAATATAAAAACTCAATAAACTTTGTATCGTATTTTTGTTTAAACTTTTTTCTTTTCTATTATTTCTTTGAAACAGCGTAGCAAAAGTGAGAACTCAGTCGAGTTTGGTATTTTCAAATGTACTCTTTCTCATAGACTGTAAAAATTTTCTTTCAGAGAAGATGATGTTCTTTACATTTAAGTTTCAAAAATCGGCAACATCATTTTCGATAATGCGCTGAGCAAAAATGAAGAATCGTGATCAAAGTTTTGATTTTGCAGCTAGGTAGAGAAGAGCAATCATTTCTGATTAAAACAAAACAAATCTGATCGAAAAGTTCATTATTTTGATGAAGTTATGGGACTTTTACTGGAAGCACTACCATATAAACCTGGTCCACGGTTAATTTTTACTTTTTGTAGTATATTTTTAAACTTATAACTTTTTTACTACATGAGTTGGCGGGGTCAATCAATAGTCATTTTGTGGAGCGTGCTTTACTCCATCTTTTTATAATACACACAAATTTACAATCACGTGTTTCACTATATAAAGATTTCTTATGCAAATCGAGTCAGGACTTCTGGTATACCCTTTACATAAAAGAACGAGGGCGGATAGGGCCATTTTCCGGCCCCTCTCAAAACTTGTTTATTTCTATCGGGCTTTAATAAGCATTCGATCCTCATCATATTTTTCAACTTTATTCCCAGAAAATGGACATTCATTATTTTGGTTCTTGGGGTCCCCCAGGTGTCATGAAAAAAAAATTTTGTTTTTCTCAAGCCAAAACCAAATGAAACTATTGACTCTAAGGTAGGGGTGGCACATTTACTTTTAGTTACTTTTGACGTCCTTTTTGGTGTTCAATGGTTTTCACAATAGTTTAATACATTTGATCAAATATTTTTTTTGCTAAGTTGTAGATCTTGACTTCAGCCATAACTTTGCTCGCAACGTCATTTTTTGATATTGTTCATAAACTGAATTATGCACTGTACAAAAAGTAGTTACTTTTAAAAGTAACTACCGAAAAAAAGTAACTAATTTTTACGTCAACAATTCTTCATCTACGTCTCATAACTCGGTTCATGAACAGTATCGAAAAATGACCTTGAGAGCAAATTAAAAGCTGAAGTCAAGATCTACAACTTAGCAAATAAAATATTTGATTAAATGCGTCAAACTGTTGTACAAACCATTCAATACCAAAAAAGACTTCAAAAGTAACTACTGCCACCCCTACTCAAAGGTGCTGATTAAGAAAACCGAAATGAAACTATTAGAAAATGCTTTCTTCCTTAAATGGTTCTGACCACTTCAGATACCCCATTTTTCACTGTTTGGATCCCTGTACAACTGTAGTNGACGTTGGTAAAGGTAGTGCACGAGCTTTACGAAATTTTGGTGCTCGTGTTCTTATTACAGAAATTGATCCAATTAATGCTTTACAAGCAGCTATGGAAGGTAAAAATTTTTTTCACAAACAACGAGTAAAATGATTTTTGTTTTTGTTTCATCGATTCTAAGCTACAAATATGGTGTTGTTCTTTTTTGAGACTAAATTTATTTATATAATTGAAATTTTGAGAATATATGATTCAATTCATCGACTAGGCACCTTCGTTCGGCGATAAGACGGAATCATAGATGATGTCGAAAAACTTTAATATATAAAAAGTTTTCTTTTTTTTTTGTTATAAAATAATTTCAGGTTATGAAGTAACTACGATGGAAGAAGCAAGCAAAGTAGGACGTATTTTTGTAACAGCAACTGGATGTCGAGATATTATATTATCTCAACATATACTTCAAATGCCTGACAATGCAATTGTTTGTAATATCGGTCATTTTGATATTGAAATTGATGTTGCTTGGTTAAATAAAAATGCTGTCTCGAAAGAAGTGATCAAACCACAAGTAAATCGAGAAAAATAAAATTGAATTATTTAACTTATAGAAATTTTTTTAAAGGTTGATCGATATAAATTACCAAATGGACGTTCAATTATTTTACTTGCTGAAGGTCGACTTGTCAATCTTGGTAAAATTAAGAAAACAATAGTTAATATATAATGTTAATTTTCATTTTATTATAGGTTGTGCTCATGGTCATCCAAGTTTTGTTATGAGCAATTCATTTTCGAATCAAGTATTAGCACAAATTGAATTATTTACTAAAAAAGATCAATATGCTATCGGTGTTTATGTATTACCTAAGAAGGTAAAAATTAGACTTCGGTTTTTTGTTTCTATTATTCTTTTGATTTCTAGCTTGATGAAGAAGTTGCTGCCGCTCATCTTGATCATTTAGATGTTCGTTTAAGTAAAATGACTACTGAACAAGCAAATTATTTGGATTTAAATGTATCGGGTCCATTTAAACCTGAACATTATCGTTATTAAATTATCAAAAGATTATGATTATTTCATAGAAGCTTGTCTCCATTGAGTTTAATAATGTTTTGTGATCATGCTTCTGTTGCAATAAAAAATACGAAAATCATTATAATAAAATTCATTCGAATATATAAATGATTTATACTTTTAATTAGTTTAGATGAAAAATCAAAGTCATTTCATTGAACAAGGCTTTTTGTGTTTGATCGTTTTTCTTTAAATTATTTAAGTAAAACTTATCAATGTTTAAGAGTGAGCAGGCCTTAATCTGAAATGTTCACTTTCAAAAGTCTTCTTTCTTGTTGCATATTTATGCGAATTTTAACGAATATGACATACTGCCTGTTTTACTCAAATCATAACTAACACCGAGGCTAACATAAATTTATTTTCTAAGCTGCTAGAATTCTCTTATGATTGATTTTCACATATTCAGTAACTGTCGATATTATTCAACAATGTTCTTTTTTTTAAAAATGTTTCAATTATCAGATATGATAAAATTTCCAACGACGAAATCTCCAGAAAAATCCAAATCGTATTTTTCAGCATCTGGAACATAGAACTATCATTTTGTTCCGACTAAGTAGAACAATTGTGTAAATACTTCTTTGCAAAATGAGATGTTTCAGAGTTTCCAAAAAAAATTTTATAGCTGAGATACAATAGCCGTAAAAGTGACTCTTGGTGATCTCCACAACAGTTTCGAGTTGAAAGTGAGCTCATTTTAATTATACTAGAACAATACAGTCAATCAGACGCTAATAGCTTCGTATAATTTATAATTGTAGTAGTCTTTTTCAAGAGTGAGATCAATCACTTGCAACATTTATTGCTCTATATATAGTTAAATTGCAACAAGAAAGGAAATTTAAACTTTTGGAGGCGATATCATTTTGCCTAGTTCTTTATCTTCAACTTTGATAAGTGTAGATGGAATCCATTCAAAGTGAAATGTATCACGAATTCAATTAATAATTCATCGCTTACTTGAATGAACATGATAATTCGTGAAGAAACAGTTTACAGGATAAGAGCTGCTGGATCAACTTTATCTAATATTTTTAGCCTTTCGTTGATCTTACTTCAAAAAACACTTTCGTATTTTTTTTCTGTAGAATGAAATGGATTCTCAGCTATAAAATACACATATCATATGACACGTCGAAATGTTTGTTCCAAGAGACATGTTTCTATCAGATAGGAATTTAATTTTTTGACTGCGTCTGGAAGTTACATAAAATGTCAAATGACCGAAAGAGTCTTATGGATACTACTTAGTGCATTCTATTAGCCATCAACGTACAAATCAATGCCATTGTCGAAGTAAAACATCTGTTCGTTATAATACAATCTGCTACCTCTCATTCGATACCAACCAAAGATAAATCTTCGTGGATTTCATCTAATTGGAAACAACAATTATAGTATGAAAAAGTCTTGAGAGAATCTTCTTCTTCACGTTTGATTAATGAAAGACTCGTTCTCATTGATTTGAATTTAAGAAATTTTGAGAGAAAATTGGTCTATATTCATTAATCATCAAATGAATAAAACATGAATATTGAGATCGTGCAAAGCCACAGATTGAAAAATACTTTTAATAGATCCGTTCAAATATTCGCCATAGGAAATGTTGTCTGAGAAAATTCATGAGAATGAATCTCTTTTTTATTGTTTAGCAGATACTCTTGTTCGATAGAGACATTTATGAATGTAACGAAAGAAGTTACATACTGGTCATTGTCATGATTTGTTATTTGACTTTGACCTTGTCTTCATTGATTGCAACTGATCTATTGTTGATATAGAAAGGAATGTCTGTGTGCCGAAACTCCTGCTGAACAATTTCGAGTGTGGATATGAGAGCAGAGAATAATGAAACCTATACCACACCTACACCCTCGTTTTTTTGTCTGTCTGGATTGTCTGAGAATTACTTGTACATATTCGCTACGATTTAGAAGAAAGATCATGCTGTGGTAACTCTCACATGTTTGGTATTTTCTTTCGTTGTTCTTTATCAATTATCTAGTTTCGTACTACCATGACTCCGAGCTTATATATAATATGCATATGCATATATATATTACGTTTCACTGCAACGGACTGGATCTGCTTCAGTTTCTTCGTGTTTATGTCTTTCTTGAGAATTAGTTTGTATAAATCAAGTGTTAGTTTTGAAATTATCATTTGAAAGTACAAGATTTATACTTTCGTTCAATAAACCAAGTGCCGAATCTTCTTTTTATCAAATATGTTTCGTTTCAATATAATGGTATCTATAATGTATATTTTCTTTGCAGAAAATATCATTTTACACATTTATTCAGTTAAGATTCAGAACCATATCATGCCTCCAACCAATCATGTAGCTGAATATAAATAGTTATGTGAGACTTTAAGTAGCAAGAAGAATTGGGGTCCCTATTCGGCTGAACAACAATGGGATATAGTACGAGAAGATTATTTCGATGACGGAAAGTGTTGGGAACATTTTACCTATGATCATGCTCGATCAAGAGTCTATCGATGGGGAGAAGACGATCTTTTGGGTCTCACTGATCGAAAATGTCGACTCTGTTTCGTCATTACACTATGGAATGGCAAGCATTTCATGTTTAAGGAGAGACTGTTTGATTTGACTGGCAGCGGTTAGTATAATACTCATATGTGCATGAAATTTGTATTATTAGTCAGTGGCATGCAAGTTTTCGAGATATTTTTTTTCAATGAAAAACTTTTCAGTATGGCTCCATGAAAGAGCAAAGTATGAAATTCACAAACTGAGTGTTATAAATTTATAACATATTGCCAGAGAGATTAAAATAATTGATTTGAAAAAATGTCGAAGAAATAAATATATAGCAGATATGCGTGTTCTCAAATTTTACCATTTCAACAATGCGTGCATTTAGAATTACTATTCATTTTATTTTTCGTTTTATCAAGTCAACCATCATATTATATTGTTGAGTTTCGTTTAAACTTAGAATGAAATTAGTTCATATTTTTCTATTTTTATTCCATTGTGATTTTGCTAAATCAATACTATCGCTATCCTACTAATTGACACCTACAATAAAGACGCTTTTTGCTACATTTGATACTAAAGCCTGCAATATTTTGACTACTGTAGTTAAAATCTACAGTAGAAATCTTAGATTCATAGAATATTTTAGAAGGTTCTAGAAAGTTCCAGAATGATTTAAGCGCTATTATTACTGACGCATCTTTTTTCCCATTACTAGAAAAACGCACCTAATGATCTTTAGCTTTCCACTCACTATATTCTTCGAAAATATATGTAAGTTCCACAAAATCATTTGAAAACATTAGCTAGAAATCGGATATAAACTATTCATGAAGTTGTAAGGTTTGACATCCAATGAAAGAACTTTCTCTTGCAATTCACACAGTTTCTTTTCGACTTTTCATTATTTTGGAAACATCACATCATTGCTTTGATTTTATTGTAGAAGGCAATCATGGTGCAAATGTGAAGGAACAATATTTTTACTTGAATTTGATTCCAACACATTCTTACATGAAATGTCTGTACAAATACCCTCAAAAAATCTTTGATAAGAATGAATACTTCAATGTGTTTATCGAATATGCCAAACAAGTTATTGATGACATTCTCATTCGAATCACTGTCGCAAATCGAGCTAGTCAAGAAGCTGAATTACATCTATTGCCTATGCTTTTTTTCTCGAAATACCTGAATTTAGAGTACCAAAAAAAAAGAGGAAGAATGAGTCATTTTTTTTTTCGTTGAGAAAGAAAAAAAAATATTATTTTTTTTTAAAAGGATCGAGTTTTTGCACTATGAACGTTCTAAAGGAGTTTTAATTTTCTAGCTTCGTTCAATGCATTCAATAGAACTGATCGATCCAAATTCTTGGCTTAACCAGTTCTTTTTTAATAAAGTTTACCAGTGCAAATCGACGAAGACATACGATGTGAAACTTATATAACGTTTTGAATTTCAAATAATAACAAATTCTTTTATAGTCTGTCATGTCCAGTATATATTACAACTAAGAACGAAAGAAGAACTCTTTCAAAAACTTTTCATCTACTAAATCAAAAGAACTGAAATTCAACAATATCTATGCTTTATTTGGTCTGGCTTTTGTCAATAAAGATAAAACTTCTTTATAAAAGTTCATAAATTTGATGTTTTCTTATTTGAAATCATTATTTAGCACAACTGAAAGGCTTCTGAAGTCATATAAAGCTACTACTGTCAATAGGAAGACAAAATGAGCTACGGAGTTTGACCCTTATACCAAAACTCATATTTTTATGTTTCTTAATGCCTAAGTATTGTGACAGTTGCATGAGGTAACAGTTGAAAAAATTTACACAACCGAGCGAATTCTTTTCTGATATTTATGTAACGAGAACATGAACTGAAACTACTATTCATAGAAAGTTTCTGATCGTCGCTTAAATGTCAATAAAAACCCAGAAAAGAAAACAATGAAATCCGACCGATAGTTAGCAAACTGGTTGGTTTGATTCCAAGCTTAATGTCAGATTAGAGTCGTCAATTTTTTGATTATGTCCGTCTACTCTTACAAATCAATGTGCGATTTTCTCAAGTCCAATTTTTCAGACATGGTCATTCATTGAACTTTTTAAATGAAAATGTTTTGAATATGTATCTGCCTAAATAATTTCATAGATGAAGACAAGTCTAGGAAAATGTGACATCGAATATGATCATTGATAATCATCTTGAACCTGCTATTTCTATTTCACACCGACAAGATCAAAAAATTGAACGACGAAACAGTGACGATATATTGAGAACTGAAGGTGGTTGTGTTCGATATCAATCCGATGGATGAAAACGATAATTGTCTTCTCGAAATTTTTGTTCACGGAGAACGAAACAAATCTTGAGTAACTGTACAATAGAAAGAACGTTTCTCCTTATGTCAAAGATGCATTTCATGAATATTTGATAAATAACAAGATGGACGTTGTCAATCCACAATGTTAAGGGACAAAAGTAGCTCTTCACTATGAACTTAATATTGAGACCAATTCCTCTAAGACATTGCATCTTCGACTCTATGAAGTACTTGATGAAGGCTGTGTTCCATCCAAAATTAGTCGAAAAGAACCTGATAAGGTTTTCAATCAAAGAAAATACGACGCTGACTTATTCTATGAATCCATGTATGATGCCTCATTAACAGATTACGAAAAGAATATTATTCAACAAGTCTATGCTGGATTATTACACATCAAACAATTCTATCACTACAGTGTACAAGATTGGATTAATGGAAATGATCGAAATTTTTTGCCGACTTTCACCAACAATTGCAAGCAAGTAATTAAAAACACGGCATGGTGTCACTTGTCAGTTCTATTGATGTCTAATTTCAGTTCCAGATAAATGGGGAATATCCATAGTTGGCTGCTTGGAATTTAGATTTTCATCTCATTCCATTTGCTGGTATTGAGTCACCTTTTGCTAAAGGTCAACTGATATTAATATTTGAGAGACGATCCATTCTATGTGAAAATTAGACTAAAATGACCAAGTTTTACTTTTTTGTTTTCGAATTCTACTTGAAAATATGAATGAAAAAAGGACATTTCTGGCTGATAGTCTCAACATTGATGATCGGGGTCAAGATTTTTTGCTAAATGTTTTCATCAAACTCTTGGTTAATTTTTCCTTGGTTGGTCAATCGAAAAGATCCGTGAAACAACAAATTGTTCCATGACGACTTCATGAGTCTGGATAACATCAGTGTTTTTGATCGCAATCAAGATATGCCAGAAAAGACACAAGAATGCTGCAATCCGATGAAACATTACGGATAACCTTTTTTTGCCATACATATGTTGGTAATAACCCTCGAATTAGCGTAGATCTATCTGGTTGTGTCTCAACTTTTTTATTATTGAAGTTCTCGAACAGTTTGTTATTATCTTTGGAAATTTCCCCGGTGAAAGATGGGCAATAGAAGTAAATAACTTAGTCTATTTTAAACCAGAGTAGGAATGAGATGAGAATAAGTATGCTCTTTTTCGAAAATGAATTTTGACTTTAGTGATATAGATCGTCAAGTTGAAACACTTCTATTTTGTGACTTATTTTATCTATATTGAGATTTAAACTCAACTTCTTTGTTCATTCATTGTCTTTAGGTACCATCGGTGCTATGGTGATTCATTGAAAATCAAATATCCGACTCGAAGTAGTCAAATCATGACATTGACTGAAGTTTCTCGTGAAATAAACCGGTCCTTGAGGACATGTAGTGCTCCCTATATGATAGCCCTTGAGGGCTTATGGGTACCAATGGAACCTGTTCAACTGTATATTAATAACACGTCTTTTTGTTTCTTTTTGTACAATCTTCCCAAATGTCACGTGAACTCTAGCTGAATGATTCAATAAATAGAAAAAAAAAACTTTCATCCAGTCTATAACTGCAAATACCATAATAGTATTAGACTCGCCTAATTTTTAAGAATATCGATCGCTTTAAAGTTTGGAAGACAATGTATTTTCTATCATCGTATTGAAATGAAATCATGAATACATTTCACCGATGAAAAAAAAAATTCTTTTGATATCTATTTTATTGAAAACAATCATAAGACGATCATCAATGGCGAAAGATTGGTTCACAAGATAATCATTTTAGTTATTCATTGAGCTGTATTCAGACCAAAATTTCCATCGATGAAGATTTATAAGAATTGTTATGAAGTACGAGAAGTTTCATTGAAACTTTGAACTTGACGTTAACTAGTTTCATCAAATCACGTGTGGTTGGCTTAATGAATAGCTTTGATATTTCTAACAAGCTTTGTAAGAGAGATTCTGATGCGTTGACGAATATGAAAAGCCGAAGTAACCAACAATATATTAGAAATTTCGTTGTTCAACATGAATGTCTTTACATCGCACTAACGGATATTAATTCATCGAATCGAATCTTCCTCTTCGTTATTCAGCTTCTGAATTCTATTTTGTGAATTTAAAAAACATTTGCTATACACTATCTCTATCATTTTGCAATGAAACATCAAATTATATTGCTCAACAGAGTTTGTAAGATCCACATTTTTTTAGCGCCGAAGATGACTGCACTAATGAGTCTTTTACTTAGGTTCTATGAAAAACTATTTTTCGAACTTTCATTTGATTGCTGTATCTTAATTAAAGAACATCGTAGTGAACTAAAAGACGTCTCATTTTGCATTTAAGATTGTGAAAAACTGGGTTTAGGATTGTCTGGAAGCATTCTTTTTTTTTTCATATATTCTAATTATAAATAATTTTCTCTATTCGGATTCTTTTTTAGGATTTTAAGATGATCACAAAATAAATTAAAAAATAAATCTTATTGAATAATTTTGATAGTCATTGTTTATTAGAAAAACTTGATATGGATTTCATATGAAATAAGTTATAACAAAGAGAAACAGTAGAGATTTGTCTCGTACAATCTAATATATTTCTTAGAGTTAATCAATTTCGAATGTTAATGATTAGATTGTACTAGGAATTTTCTTGATAAAATATTGTTAGAAAAGAGAAAGAAGAATTAACTTCGAATACAACTAACACTATTATGTGTCATGGCAAACAATAAGGATCTAATACAAACAAAATGATAATTTGCTTCCGATTGTATTGTTAAGTTTACACACTTTCTTATTCATTCATTTCCGATTTTTAATAAAAAAATTGACAGTAGTGTAACAATAATCACAAACAATCATATCCTAACACTACACAACGTTCTCATCTTTCATTTTTCTTTATTTAATGTGACGAAGAAAGTAAACGATGAAATACTACGACTTCAAATATTACTTTTTTTTTTTTTTTGTTTCTCTCAGATTCATTATATGAATAAGAGAAATTATTTTGATATTATTCTCCCGTATATGTCGATATTCATGCTGTATTTATAGTTACGTGGCAAATATTTTGCAAAATTTTATTGTACATGAAAAACAAAATACACATGACATAATTTAATTCGGTTGAATATAATAATAAAAATGTTCGAGCTATTTTCAACTATTCGTGAGACATGAGTATTTAAAAACAACTCACGATACATTCAGATTTATTGAAAAAAAATCTACTGTAAAAAGTATTGATTCTTTTATTTATTCGGTCAGTACATCACCAGTTATTCAGATAATAGACTTTTTGAAAAGCTATAAAATGATTTCGATAATACTAAATAATTTATTATTGAATGATTGACGAATTTCAAATATATTCAATGTTGTTTAACAAATGCGAAAAGTCTAATGAGAATTTTATTTGCTCAACAATAATTATTTATTGAAGACCAAAAGAAAAAACAAGAATGCTTTTCTTTTTTAACTTATCATTATATAAAAATCAATCGATGAAATGAGTACAATGAAAAAAATTCATTTTAGAAATTCTATAGAGAACATTTTGATCCATTATGAACACAACAAGCGGTAGAAAAAGAAGTTTTATTCACAGTAACCAAACGAACCTAGTAACCTAGATTACGCATAAACAAAAAAGAGAAAAAGAACTAATAGTTAACCAAACAAACATTGAAGTGTAGATGCATGATAAAGAAAGAAAGAACAGAATAGAGAAAAGCAAAATAAGAATGCAGACAAAAACGATGAAATGAAACACGAAATATAAAATCATTAATGTTTTTTTTTTCCACAGTTCAATAAAAAGAAATCGAATATGATTATTCTAAAAATAATTCTTTCATAATCTTTATTTTCTACTTTACTATCTGCAACAAAGTTCAATACTCTCTATTTATGTAATAATAGAAAAATAAATAAACAAACATCATGATTTCAAACCATTGTCTATAGTCCAAATATAAAAACATTTTTACTTATGAAAAATATATAGACACTTATTTGAATTCAATTAAAAGACGTCTAACAAGGATTAAATTATGTATTCTGATAAATAACAAATGTTTTTCTTTTTACATTGAACTTGTTTGCTTCTCATTTTATATAAAACAAAAATACAATTAAAAATTCATTATGTCTATATCTCGTTAAGTTTTTAAAAGAATATCTATTTCAATATAATAGTTCCTCAGAGGAAAAAGAAACAAAATGGATTAGTGAAACATGTGTAATAAATGAAAAAATTTTTTAGCAATTAATAATTCATGAAAACGAAGTACATGTTTTCTATTGGACATATTTGTATTATTAATGCCTCCAAATAAAAATGTAAAGACAAGATTATTTTCTTTTGTTTTCTTTTCTATACATTTAAAAAGCAGCAAAACTTTATTTAGTTCAAATCGTTCTTTATTCAATTTCAATCTATCGCCTACGTTTTAAGACAAAACGAAATGGCATTAATGGAGAATGCACGTATAACATTGAAGTATGTGACAACAAACACAATGGCAATATGTTGTGCATTCCAATGAATTTACAGCCGATTTTTTACCTTGAATGACTACACATAACACTGACGAGCAACATCTTTTTCCTTCACAAATTTCTAAAAGACCTATCACTACTACTCGTCCAGTAAAAAATGCTAAGTCTAAGATTAAATCAACGACTATACCACCACCATCATCATCATCAGATCAATTGACAAATACCATCATAACACATACAGAAACTACACCAAAGACACGTATTGTTGTAGTCCGTTCAGCGGGTAAGGCATCAAATGAGGAAGTAGAAACAACTGAGACAAAAGAACATGACAAACCGAATTCAATCCAATTTCCACCGGTGCTAACTGATGGAGTGAGTATTTTAATCATAAATTCATGTTTCTTACATTTAAAACAAAATATTCTAGCGTACATCTGTTTATCTTATTCGACGACCTATTCCACCACCTGAATTATCAGTACAAACAAAAATATATGTACCACCAGGTAGTGAACCACCACCACCACCAACTGACGATTTGCAAGATGTAGATACATCTACTCCTACAGAAGATACTGTAACTTCGCCTAGTCAAGTTCATTCATCTGTAAAACGTCCAAAAACTTCCAAACAAAGTTCGACTTTTACACGTTCTGAAAGTCCTCAACAGTATTCACCTGTGAATATACCTAATGAAACTCTTACTATTCATTCTCCTGACAGTTCAAAACAACTTATATCTTCACCTACACAATCTGTGGCCCCTCAACAAATTAGATATAGATCGAGATCGAAATCTCGAACACGAAATTTAGTTCGTTCCGATTCCCGAAATCGATCAATTTCAAGACATCGTTCACGTAGTCAACGTCGAATATCTCCAACACATCGTTTATCATCTGCATCACATGCCACACAAGAAGAACCTAAAGGTAATCATAGATTTCTATTATAATAATAAGTATACTTATATTTATCTTTAATAGATACTGATCGAAAACGAAATTTTCCTCCATTTTCACAAATAAAAACTATAGTTATACAAAGTAATTCAGTTCCTTCTGAAACAACTAAAAATGAACAACAAACAATTCAAAATATTGCTCCAACAGTAACACAAAATTCTCAACGAAAAAGATCACCTTCTCAACGAGTTAAATCCTCTAAATCAATTGTACTTCTTAATCCAGAAGATCAAACTATTGCTGTTGTAGAAAATCCATATGTGAAAGGAGAATCAATAATACCAGTTCTAACACATGCAATATCTTTAAAAAATGGCCGATTTCTAGAAGCAAGTATATGTAGAAAAAAATAAAAATAAAAACTAAACGTATTTATTCGTTATTATAGGATGGACAATCAAAAGGAGAATCAGACAATGGATCCCGATGGAATACATGTCTTGATTGTCTATCAAGACGTAAATGTTTAGTTATTATTATTTGTGTTATCCTTGCTGTAATTGGTTTAGCTGGTGTTGGTGTCAGTGCTTATTTTCTTGCTAATAGTAAGACTGTCTACTATCTCACAGAATTATAAATAAAAAAACAAAAAACTTAATTTTATTTTTTTGAATTTCAGATTCTCAAACAAATCTAATTCCGAAAATTGTTGGTATAGTTGTCGGTGGTATATTAGCTATAATTGCATTAACTTTCTTATATTGCGTACTTGCATGTATTGATTCTCGTGATGGTTACTTTTCATATAATGATGATGCTCCGCATGGTAATGGTAGAGCTTTTGCACTAATACCATCGTCACATCCGAATGGTCATCTTTATGATTCTCGTGATAATAAGGAATTACATAAGAATAATCGAACATCATCATTAAATTCTGTTTCTACTAGATCAACTATTCATCAAAAAACAATAAATCGACAAAAATCAATAAAAAATGATATAAATAGTACAACAAATGCTAAAAATATAATAATTCAAATGCCTGAACGTCTTTTAACAGCAAGAAAAGAATCACCAAAATCGCGAGAACGTAAATTAAATAATGTAGTAAATAATATTGGACGTATTGTTCAAGATGCTAAAAAACGATATAATGGTGATGTACCAAATAAAGTTATTGTCAAAGTCGATGAAAATGTTCAACCATCTACTTAAAATTTTCTTCGAGTTCTTTCTTTGTTTTCTTTCTTTCTTTCTTTCTTGTTTTAAAAAGATTCTTCAAAGTATAAATTATTTAATTAATATTTTACTTATACTTGTTTGTTCGAAAAATTATTTTAACAGCATGAAGAAAAATAATAGAACGAACAATCAAAAAAGAAAACAACATCTGTTCAATAAAAATCGATTTATAGTGAGTTTGTTAATTATATAGATGATAGCGAAATAATTGACCGAAGTGAGTTTTCTTCTTCTTCTTTCTTTTTTAACACAAAAAACGATTGAATAGTGATAAAAGTAATTCTAAGACTTAAATAGAATTTTTCTATTATTATTTCAAATATTTTTTTTCTAAGTTTTTTACTTTTGATTATAAACATATTTGAATCTTGTTTGTTATTATCAATAATTTTAGAATCAATAGAAATATCAATGAATTTCAATTGAAAAATTATGATAAGAAATTTTCATTTGTGTTAAAATAATATAGTTTTTGTCATCATTCTTCTCAAGAGAATAAACTGTGAATATTCTTCAATTAATTAGGAAATAATTTGATTTATTTACTCAGAAATTGAGAAAAGGAAATTTTAGTTTCTTTATCAAATGAATTTATTTTATAATGATCTAATCTCAAACTTTCTTGAAGATTATGAAGTTGCGAATACTAAAAATATGAATTCGAATCCGAATATTTCTCACCAATACCTGCCATTCTCTATGTAACTTTGCGATCATTAATAAATTAAAAGATTTTCGCTTAATTGAAAAGAATATTATGTAAACGAAATTCAAATTAAAATATGTTTCATAAAATCAATGTAGAGAACTATGACTCTCAATCTGTAACTTCCTATTAGTGATTAGTACTCATAAATTTTACTAGTAATATAATTTATTGTAATGAGAATAAAGTCACAAATTTTTATTTTATAATAAATTACCTTGATAAACTTAATTATAGAATAAATTTATTGATTGTTTATACATTGTAAATTTAATGATCAGTTATGCTTTATTTCCGTTTCGTTTATTTGAATTAGAGGGTAAATCTATATATATGATTTTTAGTTTTGCAAAATTGTATGTTGATCACTTATTTCTTTTTATTTGTATTCTTAATTCGTTTCGGTAAATGACATATATATATATGGATTTATCATAAATAGAATGAAAGAATGAGGGTGATAGACAAGTGCTCAAGTGAGCGTAATCGAGCGGCAGATTCGTTTGTTGATCTTTAGGGGTGTATGTGTGTCGGTTAGCCAGAGGGCTCACTGACAACATGGCCAAGTGTGTCACAGCAGTCTCTAATTGAATTCGATTTGTCTTCTTCTATCAAACTTATGTACAACTATTTCTTTTTTATAGTTTTTTTTTTTTTTTTGTTACTCATTTACATACATACACATACTTTTACTTTTATTCACAAATGAGACCAATTAGAGCAAAAGAAAAGGTTCATTGTATTTGTATGTTAAAAGACACGCTTGATGAGCACAACCGCTATTATTTGTCTATCTCTATTTAAATTCTATATATATATATATATATATTGTATTATGATGAGAGCTAGACATAGTAGGAAATTTTCTTTTAATGTACGTGAGTGTGTTTGTCTACTATTTTTTTTTTCTCTATACAAGAAATGACAAGAAGATGTTTCTAATCACATGCTGTCACAGCATCCAGGATTCCGCTTGCTTGATTATAATAGGTGTTCAAATGAATAAATGATGGCTATGTGCGTCTGTTCTCTTTCTATTAAAAGCCAACATAATATTGTCATTGCTCAGAAGTAAAAAAAAAAGAAAAAGAAACACAACTTCTCATCTACCTTTTTCTTCGATTAATATCTTGCCGATAGGGCACATGTCGGCATGTACACACATTAAACGTTCTATCTCAATTTGTTTTTTTTTAATCTTTAACTAGACAATCATTTATGAGCACAATCTGTTTTGATTCCGATCGGAAATGATATAGATATCGAGTTTATTTCTTCTTCTCTTACTATTTGACAAAAGCAAAAGTCTAGTGTGTAAATCATCGTTTCTAATCTGTCACAATCATCAAACTATTGACACACATCATGTGTCTAAATGGCTGAGAAACGAGTCATCTGGACTAGAAGAAGAAAAATGCTAAGAAAAAAGAAAAGAAAGAGGGAAATGAACTTTTTGCGACTTTGTGTCGCCAATTAAATATAGACAAAATGAAAAGTATGTTAAAATTACCAGCATCTCACTCTCCTGCTGTGTCGGAAAATGATCAACCGTTATTATACTGATGTAATATCTAATACAGCTGCTCAAAAGTTTATTTTATACTTTAAGACGATAGACGGCAAAAGATAAAAGTATCTCACTTGAAAAAACCACAGGACGACTAGTTTCTTTGTCTTCTTCAGTTTTTTTTTTCCCGTTTTTCTTTCTCTCTAGCTTTGCCTAGCAGCCAAATGCTGATTGATGTTGCGCCCTGTTGAACGTGAAATGAAGCGAGACAGTTGGAGTTTGTTTCTTTTCTTTGTTGCAATGACAAAACACAACGAAGAGAAGAAAAAAAAAAGTGATCGATTTGTCTGCATCGATAACGCTTCAATGTGCATACAATCTTCTGATCAGGTTTCTTCTTTCGAAATTCGAGTAGTTAAGTTGTTCTTAGATTTGTATAAACAAAATGAGAGGAGAAGAAAAAATATATATATATATTCACCAATCCCGACAACTTTCTTTTATATTTGTTTTAGAAGAAAAAAAGAGAGAGAGAAGAAAAAAAAAGAGAGATGATACATATATTTGTTTAAAGTTCAAAAAATTATTGTATTTTACCAGGTAAAATAGCTTGTGGTCGATGAATTTTTTCTGTTTGCATACCAAAATGATAAGGATTTGCTGAATTATTTGATGATGCTGATGATGATGATGGAGATGATACACTCGGTGGTGATGATGATGATGTTGCTGCAGCAGCTGCTGCTAAACTAGCTGATAACATACTACTATAAGGATAATGTGTTGAAAAAGCTGCTGCATATGCAAGTGGATTATAAGCAAGTGCTGCTGTTGAAAAGTCACTTAATTTTCCAGTTGAATATGGATAAAGAGATGTTGGATGAGGTGGTGGTGGTGGTAATAATGAACGACATTTTTCAAGATTTAATGCCAATGAATCATTGATTTGTTGTTGTACAGATATTGTATCAGTTGATGAATGTGTTGATAAATCCATTGAATCTTTATTCGTTAGAGAATGATGATGATGATGATGATGATGAGGTGGAGGAGGAAATGTCGGAAATGGAAATGGAAAACGATCTTTTTTTATTAAAGATTTCGGTTTACGACGAGGACGATATTTATAATCTGGATGTTCTTTCATATGTAATGCACGTAAACGTTTAGCTTCGTCAATAAATGGTCGTTTTTGTTCATCGTTTAATAATTTCCAATCAATACCTAAACGACGACTTATTTCACTATTATGCATTTTAGGATTTTCTTGAGCCATTTTTCGACGTTGTCCACGAGACCATACCATAAAAGCATTCATAGGTCGTTTTATATGTTCAGATATAGGTGTATTGGAATTTGATGATGATGAAGAAGATTTATTAATTAAATGTGGATGTTGAACATTAAATAGATGAGCTTTAAATAATATAATAATATGAAAAAGAAACAATATTAATTTTATAAATTTTATTAATTTATATGAATACTTACACATCATGCTTGAATAATGATGATGATAATAATAAATGAGTCAATCGGAGTTTTTTTTTTCTTTTAAGAAATAAAAATAAAAGCACAGTAAAAGAAACACACAAGATTCTTTTTTTCTTGTCATATACAATAAAAGGAACAGGTTCTCTCTTTCTCTATTCGATGAAAGCCTATTATATTATTCGACGAGCGAGAAAAAAAGAGCAATGAAAATAGTTTTTCTCTCTCTCTCTCTCTCTGTCTTTCTCTTTCTCTCTCTATGTATATACAAAGCGAAACATAATGACTTGAACTATGTGCACAGCACACTAATAAAAGAAGGAAAAGGAGAAGAAGAGGAGGAGGCCTTTTCTTGTCGTTCTCGTCGCCGCTCAAAAAGTGTTATTCAAATAGAGACAGCCAAGTGGAAGAGCGAACGAGCGAGCAATAATAATAATAATAATAATAATAACAACAACAACAACAGCTACCATCTATTTCTTCCCTCCAATGGAAATTAAAGAATACAAAACGAACAAGAGAGAAAGCGCAAGAAAATTAAAAATCGTCATTGGCCATTCATTGCACTTCTTTTCGCTTTTTTCTTTTCTTTTCTTTTCTTTTATATTCTATTCTATTCTGTTGCTTGCTCGGAAGCGAGAAAAGAGTGGCGGCGCCCAACAACAAAGCGATTACAATATGTGTCTATTGGTCTTTGAATAAAAAGAAGAAAAAAAAAAAAGAAAAGAAAGAAGAGGGAAAGAACAATTCAAGCTGTATGTAATATAATGAAGGCTTGCATCAACCGTGCTCTCAAATGGTACATAAAAAAAAGAAAAATAAAGGCGAGAGTAAAGAGAAATATTGTTAATCGAATGCATATATATATACATATACATACACTGATCATTAGCTTGTTTCGATTACCTGAATAAAATGTGTAAAATAGGACAATAAAAAGAGTAAAGAAACGACGAAAACGAATCCAAATGAATTAAATTCTCAATTTATTCATCTCATCAAGAGCGGCTTCTTTCCAATCAGTGTTTCTTTTTTTTTCCTATATAAGAACTTAAAGTCTATGAATAGTTCTCATCCTATTAATCCTCTCTCATCCATCAATTACAATTGCGGTTTTTTTTTTCTTCGTTTGATGAATATTGTAAACGTTGTTGTTCTTATTATTCTGATTACTACTCTTGTTTAGCTTGTTAACATTTTGTGTATATCCTTTTAAAATTATCTTTGTTTTTTTCTTCTTCTTTATTCAAACGTTTGCTTTGCTTGCGCAATGATATACGCATATATATATATATTTTTCTTTTTTCAAATATATTCATTTCAATTGAAGTGATGATTGAACTTGCACATATATACACTTTTAATCTAACCAAAACTATCGGCAGCAAAGTACAATTCGTTGTCGAGTGGGAAAAAAAAGAGATGAAGACGACGAGTTAAACGGAAGTAAGCATCGAAAGACGGTTAGCAGCGGAAGCGACTTATTTAGCGTCGACAAAGAAATTACAGTTCTCTCTTTTTTGCTTCTTCTTATTCAGTGACGAGCAAGAATAATAGAATAATCATAAAGCCCGGGCGCACACACGCGTGTGTGTTGTTTGCCTGGCCATACACTAGTGAACCAACGTCTCACCAATTACGGGTCTATTCAATGGTCGATGATCTTGCAAAAAAAAAAAGAGAAGAGAAATAGATGAGGAAGATGATGCGGGACAGAGAACGTGACGATATGTATGTATATATGTGTGTATGGCTGTAATCAAATTGCGTTTGGACACACAGCTTCAGGCTGTTGTAATTGGTTTGAAGAGTGCGAATAGAGAATGATGACTGCTAGTAATCATGAATGAAGATGATTGATTATTATTATTTCTTTTTCAAGCCTCAAGGGGTACCACATTGATACTTCTCGTTTTCTCTTCTTTTTTTTTTTTATATACATTGGTCTCTCGTGTCAACATGAACCATGCGGCAATATATAAACAATTTGTATATACCATTCTAAGCAAGTATCAATGACAACATCCAACGAGCAGCCAAGTGGGCGAATAATCATCAAATTAAAAAAAATAAAATATTCAATTCTTTATGCCTCTTTTTTTTTTGTCCACTTTGTATTATACTAATATTAATATGAATGATGTTTACCATCTTATTCTCTAATCTGTCATATATATACATATAGAATGACTTAATCATATTGAAATATGTTGAGAAAGTTCGACTCCTCCTTTTCTCTCTCTCTCTCTCTCTCTGCTAATCCATATATATATGATTGTCACACACCATCTCGCTTTCGATCATTAGTTAGGCTTCTATTTGTTTGTTAGTTGTACAATGTTTGCATGTGAACAACACTATGTATGTATATGTATCAAATGAAAAAGAAAGAGAGATTAGACGAGAGAAAATTTGACACCTGCAACGATTGATGATCATTTCTTTTCTTCAATACGATAAGAAATCATATTCATTGATGAAAATGTTTAAATAAGACAGCATAAATATTTTCTTATTCATAAATGATTTTATTGGTACTGATGTGATTAGACATGCATGAATGAACATATGTTACCACAAATAAAAACTACAACTCAATCTCTTGATTATAATGACAAAGTTAATTGATCGAAGAATACGCCTACCATCATATAATAAATGTTCAATAATAATGACAGGTGTTCGGACAGATCTTAAGAAAAAAGACATACTAAAAACAATCAAAAAGAAGTAAATCAATGTTGAATTGAATTTTGTTAGAATGAATAAAATCTATATTTTTACATGAAGAATAAAGAACATAAATATAACAACTTACGATGGAACTTCTTCAGCTGTTTCCTTTTCGATTTCAATGATTTTTTTATTTATTTATTGATACTACATAATATTCTAATGGAAATTCTCAAAGAATTTAGATTTGACTAACTTACCGAATTTTGTGCGTATATAGAGAATTCAACTAGACAAACTTCTATAAAAAGAATTGAGAAGTTTTGAATAAAATTGTTTTAAAATTTTTATTATAACACAATATAGTATCTATAGGCGAGAAATGATTGAAATCGGAAGGGAATATTCCCTCGTTAGTTGATCTCTTCTATTAATTGATTATATCTTAGATTATTGTTTATGGATGTTTACAACATTAATTATCTTATTTTGAATTAGCGAAAGAAAAAGAAAAAAACAACCTATTACTCGACATACAAAAGACTCTATACGAAGATACTTGTTAGGTTTCATAACTTAACTTGTTTCTTTTTTTTTTTTTTGTGTGTGTTAGAAAACAAACCATTGAATAACTGCTGACTATTTTCGTTTTTGCTCTCACCCTTATTAGGTTTCTATGATATTGATCATTGATTATTGGTGACTTTTGATAATATTGAAACAGATGTCTTTCCGCTTCTCGAGACAAGTATGTATATATTAATCATTAAAGTTTCGTAATAGTTGGTCTTAATCAAAAGCATAGAATTTCTTTTTGTTGTGTTTTTGTCTTTTTTTCCGTTTTTTCTTTTTATAACTAAATCGACCGTAACATTGGTATGTAAAGAATGATAATCTATTTTTCATTTATAGTTACAATAAAAGAAGAAAATTATAAAATATATATTGTTCATTAGAAAAAGAAAAACTTGTCTTTATTTTTTCGATTAAGATATAATCTGTTTAAAAAAGAAAGAGAGAATCAATCAATGAAGAAATGTTTATTTTGAAAATGATTGCTATCGTATAATAATGAACATTTTCTCAATTCTGTTTATTCGAAAGATATGATTATAATGTATATAGAAGGTGTCATTCTTCGATTAACAGTCAATAGAACAATGAAAAAAAAAAAAAAAAAAAAAAAAATTTTTTTTTTATGTACTCTTATCTTTAACTATTTTTGTATTATAACACTTTCAAAATAAATGAAACAAATAATGATTTGATATCGTATTTTTAAAAGAATCAAATAATTTTTATTTTAATTGAATATTACACTTATATTGTGTGTACATTAGATATATTTAAGAAAATTTTTAGAACATTAAACATCAATTTATTTTTATATTTTCATTAGATTATCATCATTTATTAATAAATGAATATTACTACTACTTGTGTACATATAGAAGAATATTCTTGCAAAATTTCATATAACAGACACTCTTTCTCTATTGATAAAGTGGTTTAAAAAATCAATGTAGAAAAAAAAAGAAGCTTTTCTTTCCGGTGAAGCTATCAATGGGAATTAAACACTATTGTTTTTTTATTGATAGTGAACATTATGTAACTTTATAATATGTATTGGTTTTAATTGTCATTATATTCGAGCTAACTGTTTAATTAGTTGATTTTATTTGATTCTATTAAAGTTTGGTAACAAAAATTTAAATACTATTAATTAGTCTATGGTTCCCATCGATGATGCACTAGCGAAGCAATAACATTGATCTATGGCAAGATTGATGATAAGCAGTGATAGAAATTTGTTTTATTCTATCCTAATGACTATAGTTTTGTCACATATATCTGATATCTGTCTGTATTATAGAGATCGAAAGAAGATACCTATCAGACTTTTTTGTTCTATTTTTTTCTTGATCTTTTACAATTTTGTGATTAATTTTTGATTTATTAACTAAATATCGGAAGAAAATCACGTATCCTACTTAGGGTATACCAAAAGTTCTGATCACAGTTTTTAAAATTTAATAAAGCAATAAATATTGAATATTTTACTAAGGCAATATATAGTATAACGTCTCGTCTTTAATAATATATAGAGCNTTATTTTCTTCTGTATGGTGAAAGAGAACTTTTTTTCGGTGACTAAAAAAATTGTTTTGATAATAAAGAAGAAACACTACATGTTTATTATTTGTGCTTAATAACTATTCATATAGAAAATTCTATGACATAGACAGCAAGTGGTTGGAAAATATCCACGCATTGTATGTTGAATTTACCCAACGTGGCGTTGTTTTTTTTTTAAATTTTTTCCAGTGTCTCATCATATATCTGAGGTTGGTTTTTACGTAGTTTATTTGTTTACACCATACTTGGTCTTGTGCAACATGTTTATATATACATATATGTCCAGAGATGTCTCGAGGTCGGCACGATTGGTCGAAGTCAATGATTCAAGTAGTGATCTGTATGAGTATGACTGTTCGAAACCGTACCCAGATCGGTGCCTATTGATCTTAGATAATTACTTTCATAATAGCAGTATAGTTTTCAAATTTGTATTTTACATGAAAAATCGTTCCTCTTTAGTTTCTTCCACAAACAGCAACAAAAAGAAAAGCTCATCCCGAATTTCACAAAAGTTCAAATGAATCATCGAGAGTATTTCTGCTTCTAAAGCCCGAGCGATATCGCTAAGAATACGCTTTCTTGTTGCTAAAGACACTAAAATGGAACGCAGTCTTGATGACAATCATTGCAATTGTGGATATATGCATGTAAGCTGTTTTGAAGACAGTAATAAACGTTGGCCCTTTTGCATACTTGATTGTCCTGTTCATCTATTCAGTTACTCCATTATATGATTCATCATCATCTGTAGATGAATTTTCATTAAAAACGAATAGTTTCAATAAGACAATATATGGCTTCATACTTTTGTCATCTATTCTCAAGGTGCAATGAATTTTGAAAGGTCAAGATCTCAATACTTGTCGGGATAGATCTGGGTATAAGTTCAGTTGCTGGATACCATACTTAAGAGATCAATTAGAAAATTTTTTCTAAACTTGATCAGATTTAGCGAAGATATTGAATGTTTTTTCTAAGAATCGATCAGAAAAGAAAACAATATAACACTGAAATTCTGTTGGAGAAAAACGAAAATTTATAAAGATTAGGGCAGAGATCGAGGGTAAGCGTATGAGTGTGAGTATGGATAACGATTCATCTACATTCATATTCGTATCCACACCCCGTCCCACTCCATCAGAGTCTGCATGAACCTTTGATGTTTGTATCAAGGTTAAAATAATCATTTATTATTTATCATGTTTTTACTACGTAGGCAACGACAAATTTTTGTATCATCATTCGACAGACACTACAGCAGATATGTCAACCAAGAGAAATTATATGCCACACATAGTCTAAACCGTTTAGATCATTGACTCAATCCAACGAAATCGAATTATATAAATAAAAATAAATATTTTCAATTTAGAATATTGAAAAGAAAATTAAATAAAAAATACTTAAAACTTATCAACAATACAAACTTCCTGAGGTGTTTTAATTTTTCTTATGTTAAAGAAAACTTTGAATGATTCAATAAGATTGAATGACATTTTTCAATGCTTTAAAATTCTGTGCTCTTTCTTATTATGCAGTTTGAAAAAGTAATAAAATTCAATGGAATGTAATAAATCGAATATTTCAGTACTGAACTCAGAGTTATCAAAACTTCATACTTTTTGCCAGACAGACTTAAGAAAAAAATGTTGACTGAACTTTCATTGGCGCATATGATTGAATACGATACCATAATCATTGTTCATCAAGATGAAGAAAGTTGCAAGCTGAAAGAGTCAAACAGCGAAATTTTTCCAAAATCCGTAAGGTAAATGTAATATCTAGGTTCTGTATAATCATTGATAGAGTTTTTCATTTAATTGAGCAAATCAATATAAGTAGATCGATACAATAAATTTTTTTTTTCGTAAACATTCTTTACCAACGAATTCAATGGTAGATCTTTTGAAATACAAAAGCGTTATGGTATTCAACAGTTTCTATTTGACAAAGCGATGAATAAGGTCATAATAATATTATAATTATTTGAAAATTATTTTCAAAAAAAGTGATTTACCAACATTTATACACAAAATTTTGTTTATATATTTTTTTAAAATAAAAATGTATCTAAAATTTATTATGAGCCATACACAATATATTTTTTTTTTCAATTTTCCTATGTATTAATTTTATTTTTCTAATCTCATTATTATTAATTCTATTTTCGATTATTTTTCTTTTCATTGACTATTCCTATATATTATAATCGTCACCAAATTGTTATCAACTAGTTGAAGTATATACAATTTTTACTAACTATAGGGCACTATCGTATGCCTTAGGTTGTATATGCAGATGTATGCACCCGTTGTGTCGTTTCTTTTGATCTTTTTATTCTTCGACTTGTTTATTTTTGCCTATTGTTGTTCATTAGCTATTGTATGTATATGTACATGGTGCATCGATCAGTATGGCCATCAATATATACAAACAAACGACTAATGTGTGTGTGTGTACAACAGCACATCTTTAACCATTTGTCATTTACCCGGCAGAGAAAGAAAAGGAGTGGAACCTGTCGTTTTAATTACTAATTGTTTTGTAATTGAATAAGAAAGAAATCTCTTTTTTCAAGGAAATCGAACGTATAAAGAAAAAGAATACAATAGAATGTTTATCTTTCTGCAAACAATTAAAGAATAGAAAGCTTAAGGCATTTTTGATTTTTTTGAGCTTCCGTACATCTTAACGCTTGATATCTATCGAACAAACAAATCTTATGAACATATGTAGCAAATAAATTATGGTTTCAACAGACATTATTGTTTAAAACAAAACAAAAGAAAAAAAAAACGAGGCACGCACAAATACAAAGAACTTTTGGAATGTATACGATTTAAATATATATTTATATATGTATATGAATATAGAAAGAAACATCTAACGAGTTTTGTCATTTAATAAATCAATGTCTTTTTTATTTTCAATAGAACCTGCCATTGGTTTGTCACATATTTTATTCATTTCTGTAAGATAATTTTGTAATGCTGACATTGCACCTATAATTGCTGGCGTACCAAAACCATGTGTAATAAGAGAAAAATTTGTTAAATGTCGTTGAAATGATACATCAAGAACAGATGCTAAACGACTATTTGTACCTAATGGTGAACGATCTTGTGCTAATAAATCAGTAAATTCTTTAACTAATTGTCTAAAATACAAATATATTATAAACTTTAAGAAAAAAATAAATAAATAAATAAAAAATTTTTACTTAGTAGCAAGAATATTTTGTTTACGTTTTGTAATACTCGATGGATCTTGTAAATGATTTGTTGTATGATATTGACGTGTTGTATATTCTGCACATTGACGTGATGGAAATTCTTGATCACATACATAATGAAAATCACGTGCTAAATGTGCAGCTTCACCTTCAACAAGCGATGTTAATAATGTAACAGTAGCTGCTTTACGTCGTCCAGCTGGTAAATTAACACCGATTTTTTCAAGTTTTTCACGTAATAATCTTCCACCATTTTTTGATTTTGCTCTTAAAAAAAAATATTTCTTATATTAAATAGATCAAATTTTCAATAGTAAAATTTACCTTCTTAAAATACCTCCAAGTAAAGATGCATTAAGACATTCTGGTGGTGAAAGACGTCGTTGAACTTCAGCTACACTAACTTTATATTTAGAATTTGAACTAAGTAAAGATAATCGTCCGGGTACACTACAAAATACATCTGCTGGAGCAATAGGTCGATTACCAGCACCTAAATTTAATTGAATACCTTCTTTTGTATCACCACGACGTAAATCTTGACAAAAATAAATTTCCAAATTTATAAAAAAAAAAAAATTTTTTTTTCTTTCTTATTATAATCAATTACCTCGCTGAAGTGATGCTCGATAATGTTCAGAAAGTGCTGGTGAAACATTATCATCAAGACCAGGAACCTAAATAATAAATATAATTGATTTAAAGTACATAAAAAAAACAAAACAAAACAAAATATTATATTTACTCGAAAAGCTGCTGTACTAGCTGGATCAGTACCTAATAAACCACTTCGATAAAGTTGTAATGATTCTGGATCAAGTGCCATAGCATGACGACTATAATAAGATGCTGCATATTCAGCATAGGCACCATATGGATGAGTTAATGGTGTTGTTGTCTCATCAATATTTACACCTGATGAACGAACTAATGAATTATATGATTGTGATGTTTGATTATTTGTAAATGGCGGTGATGATGATGTATAATCAAGATTATGTGAATGATTTGATTGTATTTGATCAAATGGATGTTGATGTGTTACACTTGGAAATGGTGGTGGAAAATAAGGTGGTTGAAAATCAATACCACCTGAATTTGATGATGATGGAAGAGGCATTGAGGATGTTTGACTAGTTGATCGATCGGAATTATTTGGAACATTCGATGTATTAATAAAATGATTTGATCGATCCTAGATTGAATAGAAATGATTAATATAATCGATAATATCCTATGATCTATATGCATTAGAAATAAAAAATCTTTATTTCTCTCTGTTCTATAATATGTATTATATACAGAACACGGGCAAGTCAATTTACCTGCCAGGAATTTTCGGCAAGATGATGATGATGATGAAGGTGATGAAATGACATGAGACGACCGCTTGCGGATGTATTCGTACAATGTTTAATGGTAAGCACACGCCGTTCGCACAAATGTAAATCGAGAAAATGTTTCTAGTTAAAAAGAGAATGGCTAATGGGCGTTCGATGTATGTATGGATAGGAATGTATGTCGTACGAGTTCCGATGTTTCTATTCGTCCTTATTACTGCTTCTGTGTTGCCTTCGAGATAAATAAAAAAAGAAAAGAGAAGGAAAAACGTCGACATTTCTTTTTCTCTTTTCTTTCTCGACTTATTCGGATTGGTTATTGTATAAACTCGAATATGGATTGGTTATGTCAATAAAAATACTAACATTGATGTTGTCGAAAGTCATGAAGAAAAAAAAAAAAAAAAAAAAAAATTCAACATCGTTAGTACTTAAAAAAAAGAAAGAAGAAAAGAAAAATGTACGAATAAAGCCTACGTTTATAAATTACTTGAAAAAAAGTATTTGCTTTATTCTATTCTGTCTTATTCTATAATAAATGCACAATAAATTATTATAAGTGTATATGTGCTATTCAGCTAGAGGTAGAAAGATATCAACAGCACAAGAAAAAAACGAGAGAGAAAAGTTTCGTTGATCGTATGGCTGATGATGCCTAAGGGAATCATCAGATATCATCATCATTATTATCGATCTTTAGTACTTTGAATGGGTTACATAAACAAAAAAAAAAAAAGAAGAAGAAATGTGTGAGCAACATATAAATGAATGAATGAGTTGAACTACTTAAGCTAATAGGATGTTGATTCAAGTATTTAGGTTGCCTGATCCGGCGGCAGTGCCAAGTTGTTTTTTTTCTTTTTTAACATTGAATATAAATCGAAATACATTCGTTGATTTCTTTTGCTCATTTTCTGCTTGACTTGTTAACACCAAAAAGAAAGAAGAAGAAAAAGATGAAAAAAAAAACATGAGAAAAACGATACTTTTATCGTTTAGTAGAGAGTAAGTAAGCGTAAAAAACAAAAGTGATATATATATTTTCCCATACATAAATATCAAGGTGTTCTTTTTTTTTTCTTCTCAGTTTTCTATCTCATCATCATTATGGCTGTTAGCTATAATTTCATTAACGGAATATGACATCCGTTTTTCTATCCATATCGTATAAGAATCAAAGGTTTAACGTCAAAAAAAAAGTAATGTTGCTTAAGGCTTATTCATTTAACCGGCTGAAAGATTTCATACGGAAGAAAATATATATGCTTATATTTGTCTTAGTGAAAGGCATAAGGATGATTCTGCTAATATTCAATCTGTTTAAGTCGAACTAGAAAAATGTAATATATATAAAAAAAAAAAAAAAAAGAATTCATTTTATTATAAAAAAATAACGGAAATGAAAAACAGACAATATTATATATCTAGTATAAATAAATCTTTTGATAATAAAAATTAATTACAGTAATCTAAGTTTATATAAAAAAAGAAACATTCAAGTATTATGGTTATCTTACCTTTTATATCAACACAATTTTTGTATTTTACTAAAGAAATCTTATCTTGGAGAGAAATAAATAAACTAAACAGTCATGATACTATTCGATAGTTTTAAAACAAATGTTATCATCAATAGAAAGGCTAGAAAAATGCTTTTGATTAACGTGTATGGGTGTAGGTTTTGGACTTTGTTATTCCCACATACATCCAAATTGGATAACTGCGTCATTGACTTCATGCAAATATTACCATCTTAAAGTATATATGTAATGATTGATGAATGAAAACAATATTATGCATCTAACATGACTCTGATGAAATAATATGAACTGTTAAGTTATTCTCTTATTTCTATTATTATAATAACTTTCTCAAATACAAACTTGTAGGTTTTTTTTTCTCATAAAATACTGCTAAATAAAAAGTGTTCATGAAACAGAACCAAATCAAAGAATACCATAATTATGTATGATGATTTATGATGAATAATCGCTTAACTTAAAGTAAAAAAGACATATTTGTCAAGTTGATCTTTTTGAGAAAAATAAAATAAATATTGATTTTTTTCGTCTCTAGAATTTATTAAAATATATTTCTCTGTGATAAATATTATAATATAATTGTTCTTAAGAAACTTTATTGTGTACTCAAAAAGTGAGTACACTACTAAAATCGGTCAGTGTGTCCGGCCGTCCGTCCGTCCGTTTATTCGATAACTCTTCACAATTACATTCGATTGAGCTGAAATTTTGTGCACAGAATTGTCTCATCAATATCTAGGTCGAGTTCGAAGATGAGAAGGATCCGTCAAGAA